GACAGTGGTTGGGGCCAGGCTGGGTGTTAGAGATATAAGCTGAGATAAGATAATCCTTTAGGGAATTAAACTGGGAAGCAAACGGCATGTCATAACAATTTACAAATAATATCTTAGTCCTGTCGATCTTCGGGTGGTCATGCCACCTATATATTTTGAGACATGTAAACGATGGCTGATTTAAGCTTTTCCATGGGTATCTTACCCTTTTGCGTTTCTCAACATAAACTTTATGATCAATAGATGAGACATATTCAACACACATGAAAAAAACATAAGATATCTTTGAGATGACCCCTTGTGCTTGTAGGCAGGACGTGCATTTCATGACAGGTGAGTCGACGGTTCGTCGTCATACCTGGCTGAGCGACCTAATTGTCATCTATAGTCTGATCAATTGTTTTGAGCAGCTATTCGTATTTTTTCTAAGTTTTGCTCGATTTTTCTAGTAAACATGCTTTTCTAGATATACCATTACGCATCCCACTGAATGCCCACTTAGGCCGATGTGGGTTATTTCGCTATATGCTGTTTGTAAATTTGTCAATTTTAAGGATACAGAGTAACAGACTAAAAACAGTTTTTTCCTATTTCCGACAATACTTTAGTCCAGACGCCATGACTTGCCCACCAGGCGCATAAGTGGCCGACTAGTCCAAGCACCATGACTCGCCCACGAAACGGATGAGTGGCCGACTAGTCCAAGCACCATGACTCGCCCACGAAACGCATGAGTGGCCGACTAGTCCAAGCGCCATGACTTGCCCACGAAACGCATGAGTGGCCGACTAGTCCAAGCACCATGACTCGCCCACGAAACGCATGAGTGGCCGACTAGTCTAAGCGTCATAACTCGCCCACCAGGCGCATGAGCTCCCGACTAGTCCAGGCGCCATGACTTGCCTACCAGAGCATGAGTGGTCGACTAGTCGAGGCGCCATGACTCGCCCACCAGAGCATGAGTTTTCAGACTAGTCCAGGCGCCATGACTTGCCCACCAGGCGCATGAGCTCCCGACTAGTCCAGGCGCCATGACTTGCCTACCAGAGCATGAGTGGTCGACTAGTCGAGGCGCCATGACTTGCCCACCAGGGGCATGAGTGGCAGACTAGTCCAATCTGTGAATCACTGACACTTAGCCAGGCTAATTGTGTTGACTGATTATCACAAACATGCCAGTACTGTTTGTTCCGCTAAAATAAAGAAAACATATGCACTGAGTGACACTCAAATTGGTATTAAAGCCATGTTACATTTTCACTCACTCACTCGTATAAATAGGCCATTGTCGGAAGCAGTCATAAAATCTACAACATGAGCAGTTTAAATCTGGTTCCACGTGACTGTATCACACGTGGCACAGGTACGTGACCCATCCATCGCACCGTAACTACCATCGTCACATCGCATCTGGAACTTGTTTTGTACTTTCTCGTTTCTGAGCAAAAGTTCATCCAATGTATTCTGTTCTATTAATTCTTTTTTGTTTTCAAATCTGTTTCATCTCCCTTTTGCTACCGTTGACCAAAGAATTTTCGTAACGTGATGTAAAATAGGTTTGCAAAGAGCACACACCTAGTGTCGACAACAAAAGGTACGAGGCTGGTTGACAGGACCTGAAAAATCTGTTCTCTTTATTTTCCAGATATTCATCAACAATGAATTTGTCAGCTCCACCAGCGGCAAGTTGTTCTCAGTTAGTAACCCGGCCACGGAGGAAAATATCGCCGACATTGAGGAGGGAGACAAGGTGATCTGATTTCCCCCTGTCTTTTGTTTATATATTTGTGTGGTACATGCAAAACTGAGCGGGTAGTCCTTACTTTGTCAGTCTAGCAGGGTGTGGAGTCATCCCACAGATGACATCCTTACCTTGTCAGTGTAGCAGGGTGTGGAGTCATCCCACAGATGACATCCTTACCTTGTCAAATATAGCAGGGTGTGGAGTCATCCCACAGATGACATCCTTACCTTGTCAGTGTAGCAGGGTGTGGAGTCATCCCACAGATGACATCCTTACCTTGTCGTGTAGCAGGATATGGATTCATCCCACAGATGACATCCTTACCTTGTCAGTGTAGCAGGGTGTGGAGTCATCCCACAGATGGTATCCTTACCTTGTCAGTGTAGCAGGGTGTGGAGTCATCCCACAGATGGTATCCTTACCTTGTCAGTGTAGCAGGGTGTGGAGTCATCCCATTGATAGTATCCTTACCTTGTCAGTGTAGCAGGATATGGATTCATGCCACAGATGACATCCTTACCTTGTCAGTGTAGCAGTGTGTGGAGTCATCCCACAGATGGTATCCTTACCTTGTCAGTGTAGCAGGATATGGATTCATCCCACAGATGACATCCTTACCTTGTCAGTGTAGCAGTGTGTGGAGTCATCCAACAGAAGACATCCTTACCTTGTCAATGTAGCAGGTAGTGGAGTCATCCCACAGATGGTATCCTTACCTTGTCAGTGTAGCAGGATATGGATTCATCCCACAGATGACATCCTTACCTTGTCAGTGTAGCAGGGTGTGGAGTCATCCCACAGATGACATCCTTACCTTGTCAGTGTAGCAGGGTGTGGAGTCATCCCACAGATGACATCCTTACCTTGTCAGTGTAGCAGGACATGTGGATTCATCCCACAGATGACATCCTTACCTTGTCAGTGTAGCAGGGTGTGGAGTCATCCCACAGATGACATCCTTACCTTGTCAGTGTAGCAGGGTGTGGAGCAGATGGTATCCTTACCTTGTCAGTGTAGCAGGATATGGAGTCATCCCACAGATGACATCCTTACCTTGTCAGTGTAGCAGGGTGTGGAGTCATCCCACAGATGGTATCCTTACCTTGTCAGTGTAGCAGGATATGGATTCATCCCACAGATGACATCCTTACCTTGTCAGTGTAGCAGGGTGTGGAGTCATCCCAGAGATGGTATCCTTACCTTGTCAGTGTAGCAGGGTGTGGATTCATCCCACAGATGATACCTTGTCAGTGTAGCAGGGTGTGGAGTCATCCCCTTGTATCTTACCTTGTGTAACAGGATATGGAGTCATCCCACAGATGACATCCTTACCTTGTCAGTGTAGCAGTGTGTGGAGTCATCCCACAGATGGTATCCTTACCTTGTCAGTGTAGCAGCAGGATATGGATTCATCCCACAGATGACATCCTTACCTTGTCAGTGTAGCAGGGTGTGGATGATTCATCCCACAGATGACATCCTTACCTTGTCAGTGTAGCAGGGTGTGGAGTCATCCCACAGATGACATCCTTACCTTGTCAGTGTAGCAGGGTGTGGAGTCATCCTACATATGACATCCTTACCTTGTCAGTGTAACAGGGTGTGGAGTCATCCCACAGATGACATCCTTACCTTGTCAGTGTAGCAGTGTGTGGAGTCATCCCACAGATGGTATCCTTACCTTGTCAGTGTAGCAGGGTGTGGAGTCATCCCACAGATGGTATCCTTACCTTGTCAGTGTAGCAGGATATGGATTCATCCCACAGATGACATCCTTACCTTGTCAGTGTAGCAGGGTGTGGAGTCATCCCACAGATGACATCCTTACCTTGTCAGTGTAGCAGGGTGTGGAGTCATCCCACAGATGACATCCTTACCTTGTCAGTGTAGCAGTGTGTGGAGTCATCCCACAGATGGTATCCTTACCTTGTCAGTGTAGCAGGGTGTGGAGTCATCCCACAGATGACATCCTTACCTTGTCAGTGTAGCAGGATATGGAGTCATCCCACAGATGACATCCTTACCTTGTCAGTGTAGCAGTGTGTGGAGTCATCCCACAGATGGTATCCTTACCTTGTCAGTGTAGCAGGGTGTGGAGTCATCCCACAAATGACATCCTTACCTTGTCAGTGTAGCAGGGTGTGGAGTCATCCCACAGATGACATCCTTACCTTGTCAGTGTAGCAGTGTGTGCAGTCATCGCACAGATGGTATCCTTACCTTGTCAGTGTAGCAGGATATGGATTCATCCCATAGATGACATCCTTACCTTCTCAGTGTAGCAGGGTGTGGAGTCATCCCACAGATGACATCCTTACCTTGTCAGTGTAGCAGGGTGTGGAGTCATGTCTACATATGACATCCTTACCTTGTCAGTGTAGCAGGGTGTGGAGTCATCCCACAGATGGTATCCTTACCTTGTCAGTGTAGCAGGGTGTGGAGTCATCCCACAGATGGTATCCTTACCTTGTCAGTGTAACAGGGTGTGGATTCATCCCACAGATGGTATCCTTACCTTGTCAGTGTAGCAGGGTGTGGAGTCATCCCATAGATAGTATCCTTACCTTGTCAGTGTAACAGGGTGTGGATTCATCCCATAGATAGTATCCTTACCTTGTCAGTGTAGCAGGATATGGATTCATCCCACAGATGACATCCTTACCTTGTCAGTATAGCAGGGTGTGGATTCATCCCACAGATGGTATCCTTACCTTGTCAGTGTAGCAGGGTGTGGAGTCATCCCATAGATAGTATCCTTACCTTGTCAGTGTAACAGGATATGGAGTCATCACACAGATGACATCCTTACCTTGTCAGTGTAGCAGGGTGTGGAGTCATCCCACAGATGGTATCCTTACCTTGTCAGTGTAGCAGGATATGGATTCATCCCACAGATGACATCCTTACCTTGTCAGTATAGCAGGGTGTGGATTCATCCCACAGATGACATCCTTACCTTGTCAGTGTAGTAGGGTGTAGATTCATCCCACAGATGGTATCCTTACCTTGTCAGTGTAACAGGATATGGAGTCATCACACAGATGACATCCTTACCTTTTCAGTGTAGCAGGGTGTGGAGTCATCCCACAGATGGTATCCTTACCTTGTCAGTGTAGCAGGATATGGATTCATCCCACAGATCACATCCTTACCTTGTCAGTGTAGCAGGATATGGATTCATCCCACAGATGACATCCTTACCTTGTCAGTGTAGTAGGGTGTAGATTCATCCCACAGATGGTATCCTTACCTTGTCAGTGTAGCAGGGTGTGGAGTCATCACACAGATGACATCCTTACCTTGTCAGTGTAGCAGGGTGTGGAGTCATCCCAGAGCTGGTATCCTTACAATGTCAGTGTATCAGGGCTTTGAGTCATCCTCACCTTAAGACAACCTCTTTGGTCACATAAAGAGGCGCCCGACCTCAGGTCAGAAGATTCGTGCACTTTAAATCTTATTCACCATGTCCATGATTCGAATCTCCCAGCACGGAGCACCGCTATAATGATGCCCGACGGCGGCTTAAACGTACGTTTATATCACACATGGACACATGACTGTAAAGTCCGGGCCATGTTGTCTATGAACAAGGGAATATGTAGTTGGGCGGAGAGCTGAACCACACATGACACGTACCTGGATATCTCCGGCCATGTGGACGAGGTGTGAGACCAAGGATCAGAAGGTTCGTATCTCGAATCCCAGCACGGTATTCAGCAGATACGTAGCTTAATAATAAGTCTGGGTTGAGTTATAATAATAAATAGATTTGTCGAAGTTTTGGAGATTATGATACATATTGTAGTCGATGTTTCATAGGCCGATGTTGACAAAGCTGTTGCTGCAGCTAAAGGGGCGTTAGAGTTCGGGTCCCCATGGCAGAGCATGGACGCCAGCAAGAGGGGGCGTCTCCTTGATAAACTGGCCGAGCTTATGGAGCGGGATAAAGCATATATCGCCGTAAGTACATGTTGCCCTAACTGGATACTCTTAATGGCGCTTTGGGCAGTATTTCACTTATATACGTGTCACAATGACGTGGTTAGACCATGTTGCCCTAAACGTCATGAAATCCAAGTGAAATACCTGTACATAGTTATTGTTTGACTAAATGAATGAACAGATTACTTCATCTTTCATTGTTGGACTTATTGTTATCTATGTTTGGCCGCTTGATGCCCTTGTCAGAGCTTGGAGGTCATCAACAGCGGCAAGACATACCGCGAGGCCTTCTTTGTCGACGTCCTGAGCAGTGTCAGGGTACTGCGGTATTTTGCAGGGTTTGCAGACAAGATTTCTGGCAAAACGATCCCGATAGGTAAGGCCCATTGTTCCCCTTTCATCTAAAAGTAAATGTCATCAGAAAGAACAGTGCATCCATACTTTGTCTGAGTGCGTGACTCTGCCAGTAGATATATCGTATAACCCCCACCGTGCTGCAACGTCAGTAGATATATCGTATAACCCCCACCGTGCTGCAGCGTCAGTAGATATATCGAATAACCCCCACCGTGCTGCAACGTCAGTAAGTGTTATAAGCTTGCTTGTCAGGAAGATGTGGGAAGCGCCTATCGACTTTGATAGGATTACATTTGTTGAATCATCGTTGTGTTGTTGTCCAAAAATACCAGATCTTGCCATGCTTCGGTATTCATATACTAGATCCTAAAACTTTGTTACACAAAAAATCTTGAAGTCGAATGGTATTTGTGCATCTAATGCCGATATTTGCCTCTGTTTATTTATGATTCCATGTTGTAATGGTACATACGTGTATACTTCACGGCCTTATCTGAAATATAATTCAAGCTGCTTATGTCCTTGCTTTAACAAATATATTGTACATACTTGTTGAATTCAAGTTTCAAAGTAAAATGTATTGGTAAAACCTACCAAAGGAACAAACACGTTCCTCCGATCTTCCGTGTGGCTTAACTTACAGTGCCTTAAGCCCGTGAAGATCCGGGCTAGAATTGGTCTTCAGTTACCCATGCTTGTCGTAAAAGGCGTAAAACGGGGTCGGTTGGTCAGGCTCGCTGACTTGGTGGACACATGTCATCGTATCCCAGTTGCGCAGATCGATGCTCATGCTGTTGATCACTGGATTGTCTGGTCCAGACTAGATTATTTACAGACCGCCGATATATAGCTGGAATATCGCTGAGTGCGGTGTTAAACAATAAACCAACTATAATGCCATAGCACTGATACGACCACCCCACACTTCATGATAGACTTCATGGTTGTCATGTGTACATATGTTTATATAATGACCTGTCGACGTTGACTGTATATCTTCCAGATGGGGAATACTTCTGTTATACACGACCTGAACCTGTTGGCGTTATTGGACAGATCATACCGGTAAATCAATGTTTTCAGCTAGGTAACATATATGCTCATGCCAATAATGGTTGTCACGACCCTCCCCACCCCAACCCCCACCCCTCTCCAATAAAAAAAATTGAAGGGGGTGACAACCATTATTGGCATGAGTATAGCTAATTTCTCCCTTTACTCACGTGTAGACAAAATAGTCATCTTACAGTGTCAGTGTGTCTGCCACGAAGACAATGGAATACAATGCGTCTAAATTAATAAATGGATAGAAGAAGGATTGACGTTAATTTCAAGTGAACCTTGTATTGTTTTCAGTGGAATTTCCCTATACCAATGATGGTATACAAGATAGCCCCCGCGCTGGCGTGTGGAAACACGGTGGTGCTGAAGCCGGCGGAACAGACGCCTTTATCAGCGCTGTACTTAGCGTCTCTTATCAAGGAGGTAACGCATATGGCCATCATGATGAGTATCGAAATAGATTCTCTCTCACAGAGAGAACGCATGGGGAATAATGTGAATGTTGATTTTATTTAATCATGAAACACTGAATACAACTGCAATATGTTTGATTGGGCGATGATTGTCACATGGTAGTTAACATGCACAACCGGTGTAAACGTTTGTAGCTAAGACAGCGATATATATGTCAGCTAGAAGCTTATCATGGAAGGGAAATTATAAACAAGACACACGTGACACCTGCGACAATCATGTTCAGTGGCAAGGAGCGTAAAATGGTACACTTCAGTCAACATTTTGGCACACGTTTGTCGACCAAATGTAAGAGGAAAAATGCGTAGGGTGAATGCTGCCCATCAGAACATCTCCATGGACGTCTTGAAGCTAGGTAGTCCCCGCAGTGGTTGGACGTCATTTCAACCTACACCAGAAGAGTTTCCAATGGGTCGGTACAGCCGCCTCTACTCGGCCCACGATAGCCCGAGCCTTGATACACCAAGTCCCACCGCCCCATACAGTTTCACATACCATAGCCATGTTGGGAGTCGAACGTAGGACAATTACATGACCATCGAACGTTTCATTCACCAGGCTCCTCACCGCCAAACACAACGTCCCACCTGAGCTTACATAGATATTGTTAAACTTGGGACTGGCAAGTTATGTAGGTAGAGTCTGTGTTCACTGCCGCCTCTGTATGTTTAGCTTAAGGGATCAAGAGTCCTGTAACTTAGTGTAGTTAACGGGAAACTCGTCAAGGGAGACCACCCGTAACTGATGGTACAAATTGGCTTATTTCAATATATATGAACCTAGGACTCAGTAAAACAAGTTGGTAAATGCAAACGTTTGATAAATGTACTGCTCAAAGAATTTAGCGAACACACACAGTGTTGCAATACCCATGAAACATGGCGGAGTAACTGCGGTCACCACAGGGTGTTCGTTCATTTCTTTTAAGTAGTATACACCAAGGAATCTCTGACGGTACACGTTTCTATGAATAATGTAAGAGACATATACCTGGTTCCATGAAAACACAATACATAGCGAGGGACTAGAAGAAACAGCCTATGTGTCGCGGGTTAATAAAGTCAAATGTAAAGTTAACGGTAAAGTCAATTTATAATGGAAGTATGCTAGAATATATTCCAGCTCTGATAATGAGGGAGATATATAGAAAACCAAGATTTGACCTTCGCTCTGTAGGCTGGGTTCCCGCCTGGCGTCGTCAACATCGTCCCTGGGTTCGGTCCCACCGCCGGCGCTGCCATCGCCTCCCACCCCGACATCAGCAAAGTGTGCTTCACGGGATCTGTTGAGGTGAGAATAGAGCAATCATTACCTGACGAGTAACAATGACCCGGCTTCGAACCTGTACTACCAAGACAAATTCCACTCGTCCCTGACACAGTCATCGTGCATCACGAACTGTCGTGATCTGGACAGCTATTCAGTCACTCAAAGGGAAATGGAAAAAATATTATTTTGATTGAATAATATCCATTTATTCTTTCTAAATATTCCTTTTTCATAAATTCTGCTTGAAAAGAGAAATAAATATATATTTGCCTACTGAATATAAAGAAATAATTAAATGATAAACAAACTATCAATGATAAGCAGTAATAATATATAAACGAATATTGACATTACGTTAATGAAAACAACTGCCAGAGCTTTGGCTATGTCAGTTTCAATCCTTCCCATGTTTATTTGTGGAGTGAAGTAGATTTGTGCATCCCTCGAACCCAGCACTGATTTCCTTGACCAGGTTGGCCGCCAAGTGATGACGATGGGTGCCCAGTCCAACCTGAAGCGTCTGAACCTTGAGCTTGGAGGCAAGAGCCCGATAGTAGTGTTTGAAGACTCGGATAGTGAGTAGATAGATGTTAAGTTAGAAGTCTAGAATAGTGAATAGACACGAGGGAAACTAATTGACTGGGATAGTGAGTTGACAGGCGGTTAGTCATACAACTGGGATAGCGCATAGACAGGCGGTTAGTCATACAACTGGGATAGTGAGTAGACAGGTGGTTAGTCATACAACTGGGATAGCGAGTAGACAGGCGGTAAGTCATACAACTGGGATAGCGAGTAGACAGGTTGTTAGTCATACAACTGGGATAGCGAGTAGACAGGCGGTTAGACATACAACTGGGATAGCGAGTAGACAGGCGGTTAATCAGGCGGTTAATCAGTGAGTAGACAGGCGGTAGTGAGTAGACAGGCGGTTAGGCATACAACTGGGATAGTGAGTAGACAGACGGTTAGTCATACAACTGGGATAGCGAGTAGACAGGCGGTTAGACATACAACTGGGATAGTGAGTAGACAGGCGGTTAGTCATACAACTGGGATAGTGAGTAGACAGGCTTTTATAGTGCGCTAACACGTGTGACACTGGACAATGAGTCGGCAGGTCAAGTAAAATATCCATAAAATATTCAGGTGATGAGTAGACCTGGTCAGACCCAGCAAGCTGCAGTCCTCAACCATCTTTGTGAGTTCAATAGGAACTTGGAAAACCCCAAACAATGTCATTTCCACTTACAACGACACCTGTATAGCAGTGCTGCCCCTTCTGTTTCAACAGTGGACTATACCATCGAGAAATGCCATCACGCTCTGTTCTTCAACGCCGGCCAGTGTTGTATGGCAGGGTCAAGGACGTATGTACAAGAAGACATATATGACGAATTCGTGCAGCGGAGTGTGAACAGAGCCAACACAAGGATAGTTGGGGACCCCTTGGACCCGGCCACAGAATCGGGACCACAGGTAAGCTTGAACACCATCGACCCCGCCACAGAGCCGGGTCCACAGGTAAGCTTGAACACCATGGACCCCGCCACAGAATCAGGATCACAGGTAAGCTTGGGCACCATGGACCCCGCCACAGAACCGGGTCCACAGGTAAGCTTGAACACCATCGACCCCGCCACAGAACCGGGTCCACAGGTAAGCTTAAACACCATGGACCCCGCCACAGAATCGGGACCACAGGTAAGCTTAAACACCATGGAGCCCACCACAGAATCGGGACCACAGGTAAGCTTGAACACCATGGACCCCGCCACAGAATCGGGACCACAGGTAAGCTTGAACACCATGGACCCCGCCACAGAACCCGGTCCACAGGTAAGCTTGAACACCATGGACCCCGCCACAGAATCGGGACCACAGGTAAGCTTGAACACCATCGACCCCGCCACAGAGCCGGGTCCACAGGTAAGCTTGAACCCCATCGACCCCGCCACAGAATCAGGATCACAGGTAAGCTTGGGCACCATCGACCCCGCCACAGAACCGGGTCCACAGGTAAGCTTGAACACCATCGACCCCGCCACAGAATCGGGACCACAGATAAGCTTGAACACCATGGACCCTGACACAGAACCGGGACCACAGGTAAACTTGAGCACCATGGACCCCGCCACAGAACCGGGGCCACAGTTAATCTTGAGCACCATCGACCCCACCACAGAACCGGGACCACAGGTAAGCTTGAACACCATGGACCATGCTACAGAGCCGGGACCACAGGTAAGCTTGAACACCATGGACCCCGCCACAGAATTGGGACCACAAGTAACTTGAACACCATGGACCCGCCACAGAATCGGGACCACAGGTAAGCTTAAACACCATGGACCCCGCCACATAATCGGGACAACGGGTAAGCTTGAACACCATGGACCCCCCACAGAATCGGGACCACAGGTAAGCTTGAACACCATGGACCCCGCCACAGAATCGGGACCACAGGTAAGCTTGAACACCATGGACCCGCCACAGAATCGGGACCACAGGTAAGCTTGAACACCATGGACCCACAGAATCGGGACCATAGGTAAACACCATGGACCCCTCCACAGAATCGGGACAACAGGTAAGCTTGAACACCATGGACCCCGCCACAGAATCAGGACAACAGGTAAGCTTGCTTGAACACCATGGACCCCCACAGAATCGTGACAACAGGAAAGCTTGAACACCATGGACCCCCACAGAATCGGGACCACAGATAAACTTGAACACAATGGACCCCGCCACAGAATCGGGACAACAGGTAAGCTTGAACACCATGTGAACCCCCACAACACCCCCACCCACACCCCACCCCGAATCGGGACCACAGGTAAGCTGGGACGGACGGGGACCTCGTGGCTGATGTCAGAAATGTTTCAAATTTAAATTGTTTTTTTCAACACAAATTAAATGTCTCGTTATGTTGACACACCCATCTCCGTCTATACCACTAATTCATTTACAGAAGAGAGTCCGGTATATCTATTGAATTGAATGTTTGGCCTGGACTTTTTAAAATCCCAATACGCCCAACAACGACATCAAGCTGCACTTATCTGCTTCATAAAGGAGCTTATTGTCTACACTTATGAAAACTTCTCAAGTCATAAATACATATCTGAATTACAACTTTTCAGTTATCAATGTGTGTATCACTATGCGGCATTTACTATTTGTACTTGCATTCAAGACTAAATATTAGAAACATCTCCAGAGCTAATTTTATACATGTTGCTGTCACAGTTAGACGAAGCCCAATTCAAGAAGATTTTGGCAATCATTGAGTCCGGCGTCACTGAAGGCGCCACGCTTCACTGTGGGGGACAGCGACACGGGGACAGGGGCTACTACATCAAACCGACCGTCTTCAGTGACGTCACAGAGGACATGCGCATTGGCCGAGATGAGGTGTGTAATCAGTGACCAACCTGCGTCTTTTGTTTCCACTCGCTACTGTTGGGGGTGAGCAGGAAAACCTGCCTCTAACCACTCGCTACTGTTGGGGGTGAGCAGGAAAACCTGCCTCTAACCACTCGCTACTGTTGGGGGTGAGCAGGAAAACCTGCCTCTAACCACTCGCTACTGTTGGGGGTGAGCAGGAAAACCTGCCTCTAACCACTCGCTACTGTTGGGGGTGAGCAGGAAAACCTGCCTCTAACCACTCGCTACTGTTGGGGGTGAGCAGGAAAACCTGCCTCTAACCACTCGCTACTGTTGGGGGTGAGCAGGAAAACCTGCCTCTAACCCTCGCTACTGAGCAGGAAAACCACCACTCGCTACTGTTGGGGGTGAGCAGGAAAACCTGCCTCTAACCACTCGCTACTGTTGGGGGTGAGCAGGAAAACCTGGGGGTGAGCAGGAAAACCTGCCTCTAACCACTCGCTACTGTTGGGGGTGAGCAGGAAAACCTGCCTCTAACCACTCGCTACTGTTGGGGGTGAGCAGGAAAACCTGCCTCTAACCACTCGCTACTGTTGGGGGTGAGCAGGAAAACCTGCCTCTAACCACTCGCTACTGTTGGGGGTGAGCAGGAAAACCTGCCTCTAACCACTCGCTACTGTTGGGGGTGAGCAGGAAAACCTGCCTCTTACCACTCAATGTACAGATTGCATTGGTCAAATAGAATGATGAACAATTTGCAGCACTTCTGTTGTCAAGCTATCTCCCCACATTCAGTATGATATTGTGCCCGCACTAAGTTCCGATTATTTCGCCAATAGCAACTGTAGATGTATTTTTGAAATATTCGTCTAAGCGTACACAGCAACATCACAAAAACAGTTTGATCGGGTGGTCCTGCTTGGCTGACGCGTGACATCGTACCCCTTGCTGAGGGGTGACCAATGGTTCATCTACATGCACTATGTAAGTAGGTGTATACTGTAACCTTAACGGGATGCCCGACCCGTAGACGGGTACAGTATGTATGCATATACCGATACACATTACTGTACGTAACATATCTAAAGATTGGTTTTGGCAACGGATCAAACGACAGAAACTGAAGAGGCAAATCGTGCACTGAAAGACACCTGATTTACCTGAAAACGGGTGTGTTTTTACAACCATTTGTTTGTTTTGACAATCAGATATTTGGACCTGTACAGTGCATAATGAAATTCAAAACTCTGGATGAAGTCATTGCGAAAGCCAATTCTTCTGATTACGGCATTGCTGCGGCAATATTCACCTCGGACATCGACAAGATCATGCTCTTCAGCAGCAGGGTGAAGGCCGGGACGGTGTGGTAGGTTACAGCATTAATAATACTATTGGGAATATTGGTTATGTCATTTGTCATCATTACACTGCCGCCTCATACGTCGTAATACCTCATACGTTTGTAATCTGTATTTAAAGGGAATGGATGTCAACTTCTTTATTGTGAATAACACGACGTTTCGGAGTGTATGCTTGCTCCTCCATCAGGTGAGAGAGAGAGAGAGAGAGAGAGAGAGAGAGAGAGAGAGAGAGAGAGAGAGAGAGAGAGAGAGAGAGAGAGAGAGAGGAGAGAGAGAGAGAGTTGAGTATATCGGGATTGTGTTGTGAGTGCATTATCTAGAGAAAGGACTATCAACCGATTCGAAACTGGATCATATGGATTACCCCATGTTTTACAGTCTACTTGGAGTCGTACATGAATCAGCTTGGTTTTCTGCAGGGTGAACTGCTACAATTGGCTGACCCCGCAGACGTCGTTTGGAGGTGTGAAACAGTCGGGCATGGGCAGAGAACTGTGAGTACTTCAACAACACCTCTCAACCTCACGGTTTTCATCAGATGTGCAGAGTTCGAGGAGAGGTGAATGGCTGCGTTTGTATACAAAATAACAATAATGGGTACTGGCATGAGCGTAAGTAACATGTGCAGCCTCCCAAACGACCTCACGACGTCTTTACATCAACGCACACGAAGACATGTCTCTGACATAGAGTCCACTCTTATATTTCCCTCCATCATGGCCACAAAGTCTTGCACGTTTTGAGATTTAGTAACGTTCTAATAAGATATGTCCTCTCACAGAGAATGCAGTACAAAGTAAACCAAAACAAAGTCATTATACTTATTATGATATTAATATGAAAGTAGACGTCATCCTCGACAGCTGCTCCAAGCCAAATTCCACGTAAATGTATGATACATAATACAGATTGTTTTCCATTCCGTTGAATTCTGTCCCATGGTCCGTCTTACCATACAATATAAGGGCGTTCACCCCTGACAGTCGTGGGACTTATCACACCGGTTGCGCCATCTGTATGACTTGAAAGAGTTGCGCACCTTGACGGGTCAACTGGTCACTGCTTACATTCCCCGATCCGTCTCTGCTATGGTTGCTGCTTTGTCAACACAGCGTCCGCAGTCGTAGTTTGTTGACATCACGATGACACGCTGTGACATAACTCAACTACTGTTCGAAAACTACAACTCAGCTTCGAACTCCCTTCGGGCGGTGGGGTAGCCTAGTGGTTAAAGCGTTGGCTCGTCACGCCGAAGACCCGGGTTCGAATCCCCACATGGGTACAATGTGTGAAGCCCATTTCTGGTGTCCCCCGCCGTGATGTTGCTGGAATATTGCTAAAAGCGGCGTAAAACCAAACACACAGTCAGTCAGTCGGTCGAACTCCCTTCGCCTGTTCTGCCTGCATGTACAACTGATATATAGAGAATCTCACCCGAGTGTCTTTTGATACAAATATCCGAGACTTGCCGAGGATATTTTTACTTTTATCAACGAGTGTTGATATATTTGATATCAGAAGACACGAGGGTGAGATTCTATTTATCATCAAAAATCACTCTTCATTAGTTTTCAATGAAAAATGTACACAGAACACAGTACTGCCATTAGATTTGCAGTGCAGCGATGCCATAACATTGTGACGTCAACAAGTTTATGACGTCAAAGCATTGTCAGGGCATTGTACAAAATCTACTGTCAAAACGATATCTCCTAGAGCGATATCTACTGTGGAACACAGTTTTGGATGATAATATTCAATTATAGACTCTTGTAGAGGTCGATATCGGTTTTTATTGACCTGAGTAAAACAATATCGACCGAGCTTGCTTGTTTTATTATATAATGAAAGAGAAACGGGTTTTAACATAAACCTTTAATGCGCACACTGTGCCATCTATCCGAGTGATCTGATTGGCTGAAAAGCGGGGGAAGCCCCTTCGTACGGGATTCCTTGTCTATTTTTAGTAACCCAAGTCAATATCGTAATTTATCAGAAAACTCAAGTCAATATCGTGTTTTGTAGTCAATCATGTGACGGTCTTTTAACCAATCGTGGTACAGGAAAAATACTACCTATATAATAAACATGTATATCTACAGGCAATACTCACCCAGTTTCCATGTTTCAGGGGGGAATGTGCCATCAGGGAATACACAGAAGTGAAGACGGTGAGACTTAAGTACCAGTCTATATATCTTCTCGTAGCCTCACTGTTCCAGTGTGCCAGGACCAGGCCGACACGCTATAGATAACAACTTCCTTATGTTGTATAACCATGGTCTACCTGTTGCCCCTCATCTGCTACATATTATGTTAGTGTAGTGCGTTGATATACTTGAGCAGCCGGGTAAAAGAAAGTACACAAATTAGTTTTGACAAAAGCTTACGAACGTTGTCAGGCGTTTATATACTGAAAACATTCGCTGAAAACACAGCTATGATAATCGTGTAAATACATCACGATCGCGTAGCCCTTTATTGAGTCTTTCAACTTTAGACACTATCAAACATTGTGTACAATGTCCTTCTATTGCACAGCAGGCTATATATAAAATGTATATGGTAATACATGGCTTGTGTGGAGCAGAGACATGGAGAGAACCTTCTCAATGATTCCCACCGTCAGCGTGAGTGAGTGAGTGAATATGGCTTTACGCCGCTTTTAGCAATATTCCAGCAACACCACGGCGGGGGTCACCAATAATAAGCTTCACACATTGTACCCATGTGGCGAATAGAACCCTTCGGCGTGACGGGCGAACATTGTTACCATGTGGGAAACTGAACCCGGAATTTGACGTCACTAGCCAACGCTTTAACCGCAAGCCCACGCCTACAACCCCCCACAGAACCGACCGCCACCTGTGTGTAATATAGTGTTGGTGTTGCAGGTGACGATGAAGGCTCCGGCGAAAGTTTGAGACGTCATGGACAAGGTGGACTCATGGCAGCACCTTCCCTTGTGTGTCTGTTACTTGTATATAGCAGTCTATAGCCAGGTCTTTACAGAAGTCTGACGTCATCGTGTATATTCATAATGAAATTAAAACATCTACACAAAACAGCAGCTTTTCGTAGTACCAGTCCCCAAACAGTAACGAGATATGTTTTAAGTGTACGTTTTAGATATCTACTACCTACACTACTGTAGCTTATCAGCAGTGCATTACCTCCACTCAAAACGATAACTCTGTTTACATAACGAGTCTTAGGTCAGGATGACCCAGCAAGGAACCCAACAAGGTTTTGGAGGTCATCTAGGGCCACGCGTGTACCGTGACGACAGTAAACAGCCGCCGTCTACTGCGCTTAATGCAGGTATATATGCCAGGACTGTGACTGTGATCGCCCAGCTATACGTTCCCGCATTCGTAGAGAGTGGTTTATCTGCGGTCGCCGACCCACCGCCCTGATGTAGCTACCGAATGCGGTTTACGAGTTGACATACCTTTCTGTATTTCTGGGCATGGCAAAATCCACACATTCCTTTGGTTATTGTCTTTACTGTGAACAAAGAGACAGGTAATAACACGTGACTGAGAATTCCTTTCATGTTTACTTATCCTACAGTATACCTGGTATATCCCCTTGAAGCTCACCTGGAAGGTGATTCAGATCCAATCATGTCTTCAGTTGCGAGTTTGCAAGAATTCTCCTCCCGCGCTCACTGTATCGGGTGGTCAGTCTCGCTTGATCGGGTGTCACTGTACCCCTACACCGTTGGATGTATGAGAAAGTGTGGGTTCGAACTCCGTACGTAACTCAACTTCAAACATAACGTGTTACATAACTGTGAAACCAATCGGTGGTTTGTCTGGTCCAGATTCGAACATTTACAGGCCGACGTCATGTAGACGGACGTTTGTTGAGTTAAGCCTGAATCATGTCTGTAAATATGATCTTACACTGTGTGCGTAATGTGCGAGGTCTGACTGCCACAGACAGACCATTGCCACCACATGCAGGTCTAACTGCCACAAACAGACTAATGCCACCACATGCAGGTCTAACTGCCACAAACAGAACATTGCCACCACATGCAGGTCTAACTGCCACAAACAGAACATTGCCACCTAATGCAGGTCTAACTGCCACAAACAGACCATTGCCACAACATGCAGGTCTAACTGCCACAAACAGAACATTGCCACAACATGCAGGTCTAACTGCCACAAACAGAACATTGCCACCACATGCAGGTCTAACTGCCACAAACAGACCATTTCACATGCAGGTCTAACTGCCACAGACAGACCATTGCCACCACATGCAGGTCTGGTAAGTGAGAGTTTAGTTTTATGGTGGGACATGATACGCTCGCCTTTCCGCAAACACCTGGTACCACCACTATTTCACAGTGATTCATAAACACATGCCCTGTCATCGTGTAGCATGGTGACAATCACTGGATGGTCTGGTCCAGACTCAATTGTTTACAAACAACATCGTACAGCTGTAATACTACTGCTGCTGGTACTTTATCCAGGTAAAGGTGCCACCGGCCCATCACACAGGTTCACAGCAAGATGACAACAATTATGACATGAGCGCTGTATTGAAATACACGTACATTGCAAAATTGAGAACAGTAATGTAGCTAAAATATTATTTTACAGATACCCCTTTGAAAAAGGAATTACGTTTTTGAACAGCAGGAAATATATATTTGGCCAGATTATTGCAATTATGATTCGTGGAACAAAATAACCAAAACATTTACACGCGAGTTGGGAACATGTGGTAATATTGAGGTATGAGCTTGGATCGCAGATCAACGTAACATGGCCACAAGAGGCAAAAGTGAAATTCAAATTCAATACCATATACTGGGAAATATTTAAGGTACTAAATTTCGAGGTTTGAGACCCCCCGAGCTTTCGAGGTGATTTAACTGGTATAATACAAAAAGGACAAAAACGTTAATGTCTTGGAATTTTATAACATTTGCCCGTTTCTATTAGAAGACAGTGATTAGATCCAAGAAAATTTAAAATATTTGTTCGAAATAATTTTACATCGATAAATTGAACCCACTTATGATATTGAAGATGATCTTTTATAGCAGAGAACAGTTTAAGTCGAGAGCAAGATTGAATATTTTCATGACAAATTTGATTCTCAATGTCTCCCATCTTTGCCTAAACTGATGTAAGAATAAATCTGCCCATCCAACACCCTGTTGAATCCAATTGTACAATCGACTCTCCAGTTTAGTCGGGAATCATCCGCTATATACGCGACGAGTCAGGCTGCACATACATTTTCTCAAAGAATCATGGCGCTAGAACGTCATTGATATAAATGTGCATCCCGAATAAAACCGTAGCTGGCGTGCTATAGTCATGCGTCAGAGGTACATATTGATCATTTGTCTGGTCTGTGATAATGTCCGTAATGGCGACAATGTGAATTCATTTCAAATGTGTCATAAACGGCGACGTAACATATTAAGATGCCATAAACATGACAATGAGTCTCCAGTACATTCAAATAGATGTCCTTGCATATTCTTTTACCACACCACATTCTCGACAATAGTCTGTCTCATAGTCCCTGAACTACTCTGCTAGTGTGTGAAAGAAGCCCCCGAGGAAGATTGTAGGGGAATACCCGTGAGGTGTTCCTAGCCATGGTGCTCCCAGAACAAACGCCACAGTTGGACAGCACTTGTTTACTGTTGTGAAGAGACTGGGTTTCTTCACACTGACAATATATATATATATGTCTCAGAGCACGTCCAGGGAACGACAGGTCCCAAAGCTGTGCGTACAAACAACAGAACCATTCCTCTTCAGTATTTTCGTAGTCAAAAATAATCTCTGGAACCCCTTTAAATCAAATCCGGATGAAGGTTATATTGTACGGTTAAAATGCACGGTTAGGTTAACACCTATTGCTAGCTGAACCATACGCCAATCGTCAGTGCTATGCAGTGACGCCTGAAGAGTGTGTGTGTGTGTGTATTTGTTTGTGCGTGTGTTTGTGTAATGAAGAGGAGTCAGTGAATGATATTTTAAGCCGCTAAAAGCCAGATTCCCGCAGTACCACAACTCGGAGCACCAGCAATGGCAACACACGTTGTTTTCAAGTACGGAATCGAACCCGCGTCTTCAGCGTGACAGGCGAAGGTTTTAATCACAATCAGATGTACACTCCTCATCGTTAAGTGGACGTTTGATCAAAATGTGCTTTTGTATATTAACCATTACAATGAACTCTTGAAACTCAGACATGTCCTTATTGCGGTAAGTTATTCGCCTCCGACCCGTGTCCACGTATAGACCTAATGGATGACGTCACACAGTGTAATACTGAGGTGTCTGTGAGAGAAGGTAGCTTGTCGACCTAATGCGCCTTCGATGACCCATGTCATCGACTCACCATGTCTTCGGCTCTGATTTTCAGGGTTTTACGTCGGATGGAGTAACTGACAATTCTCTGCATACTACGATGGTGTGGATCAACGGTCGGACTGCCGGCTGACGGTGTACTCCTTCCAGGGGTCACTTTCCGAGCGGTCGCGATAATACTGAAAAACGTGTAAACCCACTTCAATCGTTGACTCCGTAACACACGAACCTAGGCTGGCACATACACACAGATGATCTGAAACAAACAGACTGATCAGACTACAAACAGCTGAACATATTGACACTATAAGCGTTCATACACAACTAAACACTGGCAATACAAGCGTTCATACACAACTAAACACTGGCAATACAAGCGTTTATACACAACTAAACACTGGCAATACAAGCGTTCATACACAACTAAACACTGAGAATACATGCGTTTATACACAACTAAACACTGGCAATACAAGCGGTCCATACACAACTAAACACTGAGAATACAAGCGTACATACACAACTAAACACTGAGAATACAAGCGTTTATACACAACTAAACACTGGCAATACAAGTGTTCACGCAGTCGAACCAAGTGACGCTGGCTCGGATACCCGAGTTGCCTGTCACCAGGTGCCTGTCACCAGCGCTATACTGGGAGTGTACGGGGTACTCAAGATGCACCAGGAAACAGGCGCACCATGGAATGCTGCACTTTTTCTGATTGACTTGAATAACTTTCGACACTTGATATTGGCTAATCCTCCATCAAGCAGTGAGGGCCTGGATGTGATTGCATCATGATTGTTCAGTGAGGAACGGTTTGAATATTGTATTGCGTTATCTTGTCCGTGGTTTAAAACAGTCATCGCACAGGGAGTAATGCGGCCGATGACTGTATTAAAAGTTTTGAGAGTTTTGAGCGTATTTACCAACAAGCATCTGAAACCTGCTTGTCTTTATTAACACGAATAATGACACCAAAAAACTACGTGTTCTTGCAGTTGTGCCGTCATTTGACCATGGTAAACTTGCAGATGTATAATTTATTCTAAAATAAATCCTGATGAGAAGGTAAACGTGTATATGTTTACATAATGCATCCAACATCAGAGCAAGACTTAACGCAACAAAGTACTGAAGAACACAATGTATCGTATAGAAGATAAAGAATCAGATAGAAGTGACTGTATGAGGTGATAGACATGTTTACGTTGTTGAGGACAGAACAACCAGAAAACAAACCCCGCCACGATGGAGCGAATCGTCTCTCATATCTGCCCGACTGACATAAATCAATTAATTACAGTTTTTTGATAAAGCTCGCATATTGCAAACTGCGGCGTAAAACGATATTCACACACCACCTACTGGAAGTACGGACTTCCCAGCTCGCCTGGGGTATGACCCCAGAAGCTTAACTCCCACGCGTTGCCTTTCATCTTTATCATTGACACGCTTACCTCTTGATGTCAGTTTACTTTATGGATAGATCTTCACCCCAAGTTTTTGCACTAAACAAACACATTATTTTCAACTTTTGCCAATCCTTGAATGCATAACATACCCAACTGACCAAATAGTTCAACCTGTTTCCTTTCACATATTTCTAGACGGCCTCTCATACTCCCCACGTCAGTACAATGGCGGTGTATGCAGTCCCGGCCACGCTGACACTGGGGTGAAGAAAACCTGACAACACCCCGCAGTCCG